GTTGTTATACAGTAATATTAACTGATGACGTTTCGAGCACAATTTATTCCTCATAATCATATCAAGGACACGTGTTATGCATACCGAGTCATAGCCTTCCTCGATGACCGATCTTAGATGACATAAGACTAGGTTGAAAAAGAGTTCGGCATGGGCAAATCAAAACTTCGCATCAGTCTATGAAGGTTTTGGTAGTTGCTTTGAGGCAGCCACGTAGGTGGGTGTTGACTGCCTGGCTGATTCAGATTCAGACTTTTAGTTATATGTCTGGAAACCGTACCCAATGGTGCGCTTTGTAATATTTCCCCTTTGTAATCTCCTAAGTCCGTTAAGCCCTCATGTTGCTTTTTTCTCATTACTATTCTTTTGCCCGTAGATTTTCGCTTATTGAAGTTCGTTGAAATTTCTGTTTTGCCTACCTCTGTGAGGTATATGGGGAGTGTAGCAACTTGCAGTGCTGCATTTCTGTGCAAACTTGTATGTTGGAACTCAGTCAGTCAGTCAGACAGTGAGCTGATCGGTTTTTGTTAGTGAAGTAGTTACTGAGATATCCATCGGGGTTTGTTATCGGCTCCTTTAAATAGTAGTTCTGAGTGCTATGAACTAAGTTCAGTCACATACACTCAGCTTAAAATTCATACATCCCACTCTCCCGAATAAATATGTTGGCCACAGTTCACTATTTGAAATAGAAGTGATCATACATTACAGTGTAGTGTATATCAATCACTGTCAGATAAACCTAAAACATTAATTCATTAAAGCCTGCAGAAGTGAAAGCGGATATCACTTAAATTGAAATAAGCGGTCCAGTTTGAAAACAATGACTATTGCTACATAATCCCAGCGTGTTTAAAAAAAATCAAAACAAATAATTCCATATTAGTTTGTTTATTAGATGTATGACAGTGTGTGAAACAGTTTCATTTACCGGATAACAATATTTCGAACAAAATTTGTTGTTCATAATCATATCAATTATAACCATGCAACTTTGAAACCTGAGTTTTATAGTTTTCTTTGTCCTCTCCTATTTGTCGTCGTAGGGGTAGTAGAATTTTCCAGATATTCGAATATACAGCTGCTGAATCATTCCTTTTACATATATTTGCAGTTGATTCGATAAACAAAGCTCCTGTTATCAATCTCTCCCTCCAACCTGTGACATTAGATTTTAAAACTGTCATCTTATCCCATCCATCGTATTGTATGTATGGTTGTGTCCGATTGCATGTAGTGCTATAGCTGAACTTCTCTCTAGATTTCTTATCCTATTCGGGTCAACCAATCTAGATTTAGCTAGGTTTTTATGCTCGGTTAGTCTGACTGCACCTGTTCTATTAGTTTGACCTATGTATTTGACCTGGCAATCATTCCAGCAGGGTATTAGATAAACTAAATTGTTTTGTTTTAAAGGCTCCACAGTATCCTTTAACCGACAAAGCTTGTTTCTAATTGAGTTTGTGGGTTTGAATGCCAGCTACCTTTATTCCTGCCTTGTTAAGAATTCTGCGTGAGGTGGTTTCCGAGGTTCCTTCCTTGTATGGGATTACAACTGCTGATTTAGATTCCTTATTGTTGGCGTTGCCTTGCGCATGTTTGACATGCATGTTGCCATTGATATTACTATGATAGGAATGATTCAACACCTGTCCCAGATATCCCTACGACAAACAGAAGAGGACAAAGAAAACTATAAAACTCAGGTTTTGAAGTCGTGTGATCATAATTGATATGATTATGAACAACAAATTTTGTTCGAAAGATTTTTATCCAGTAAATAATACTGTTTCATCATTGTGTGATACATCTAATAAACAAACCAATAAGGAAGTGCTTACTACCACAGTACCCAAGTTTTACACATATATGTAATTACTCAAAAGAAGATTTTTTCTGAACGTTTCTCTATTTCTAAGACACATCTTCACCAGAATTATTATTCAGATTTTACTAGCCATCAGGATATGCAGTCAAAAACTACATAAACTGAACGTATTTGAAGGTCACCTGTCGGCAGACATTTGTAATGCCTGAAGTCAAATTGTCATATGTGCAGATTTATCTGTGTGTGTGTGTGTCTATGTTGTTCACACACGTCAATTCAACATGTGAAAATCATGATAACACTTTCCAGTGGTTACAACATAAGACTGAATAAATTCTTTCACCTCTTTTGATGTATCACTGTCTACTGGTGATAAGTCTATCCTTTCTGTCTCTCTCTCCTACCTATTGCATCAAATTCGTTAAGATATGTAAGGATTCAGAGGTCAGTGCTTCTTTATGTGAATGAAAGCTTTTCCCTAGAATTTTAACATTGTCAAAATCGATTTTATGTCCACTTTTTCGAGACTCTTTAATTATACTTCATTTCTAGGCGGAAGTTTCGTGCGCAGTGTGTGTGTGTGTTCATTGACTCTGACCATAACCCTCCTACTGCTTTCCGTCATACGGTAAGCTTCACATTCTGACCATTTTTCCTATAGACGCAGTTGTTGAACTTTATTTTTCAGTCAGTTAATCTTTTTACAAGACAATCCAGAAGGTTTCCAGTTCCCTCAACCGATTCAATCTCATTTGTAGACTTTAGACATTTTGAAATGGAGTAAACTTGTCAGAGAAAGTTCCCCTTTTCATCTTTCTTAAGAACTGAGAAATGTGTCGTCTACATTAATATTATTATTATTTATATTATTCCTTTGCGTTTCCAGTGGAACATAGGGCTTCAATCTACAGCTTTGAAGTCTCAGCAGCTGCGTTTCTTTTTACGGCATGGGATTGCTAGTTTCATGCTCGACCTTCCCTCTTTGCCTGGCTTACTAACCGGCTAAAGGAGGAAAAGGAGTACGCCCACTGGTGATTGAACCCCGGACCACTTGCGTGGCTGGCCAGTATTCAACCACTGAACCACCACCGACGAACTGTTGCCTACATATGTGAACAATATTCTAGGATGTCAAATTCAACCTTCCATATTGAAATTTACTACAATTGGAGATGCTCTTGATCCTATTGCAACTTCATTTGTCCGACAGTACAGTTTGTCTTTAAAATTAAAATAAGTAGATTCTAAACAAAGTTTAAGCATCTTATAATGTCTTCTATTGATAATGAACATTTAGCTAATATTTCTTGATTGTTTCATAATGCATATTTCATAATATCAAATGCATCAGATATAGAGGAATACCAGCAGTAAAGAGAGAAATCGTATCAAAACTGCTAAACAAAGACAAATTCAGAAGTTTTAAAAACTTAGACATCTGAATGCAGCATACTCTAGATCAGAGAAGTCAAGAATACAGACTACGATAAGAACACTATGCAATTCGTTCAACAGAGAAACCAATGTACACGAAGCAGCATTACTTTAGAAGGCAGTACACTTCAACATAACTAGAAAACTCCTGGAAGCAATAGAAATGACATCAGTCATTGAAGCTAGAGTAACCCTTTGACCTGATGATGAAGCTAATTAATTGAGTCAGAAGGTTGGATGTATCACGTCGAATGAAGAGAAGTCAACCATAAATTTGTCGGAAGACAAACGTCATGCATAACAAACTTAAAAATTGGACAATTATGTTGTCATGATTAAAGCTGACAAAGGCTCTGTTACTGTGATTCTCAATAAAGATTGTAAAAAGAAAGCTTCGGAAAATATCGAATCAGGTACATGCGCACTAATACCAATCAACAAAGTGTCTAGGACTATTGCAACGGTAGAAGATAAGAGAATTGGGGGCGGGAATGCAAATTAGTACAGTTTTAACCACATTAAAAGTTGGCTGAGTATGCGGACGATAAATGGTCCTGATTGGTTGGCGACTAGCCCAAAGTTAAACAGTCGGAAGAAAAGTTGCCCAATGAAATTATTGTATGACGACAACACAAACTAAATTTGAATTTGAGGAATAAACACTTTTATTTCGCCAACAACTGACCTAAGATGTTGATTTTAATTTCTGGCCACTTCCCATCAATTCACACACGCCACTGTGGACAAAATAAAAGCAGAGGTGTGTAGTCCACTAAGAGAATTGAAACCAATACTGCCCACCAGATTTCATTTTCTCTTCACATGATTCTCCTCCACGTTACATTAGTGTTGACAATTCGAGTGTTGTCCCATTCGCCAACCATTACAAATCTGCACACTGATTTCAAAAATAGTGAATGCCTATCTTGCTTTCCCCACCCTAGCTGGATTCGACATCCACATCTGTGCCATGCTGGGGAGGTAATCGAAAGGGGAGACCTACATTAGGTTTCTCTCAATGGTGCTAATTGGTGTTTACCAACAGTCGGATATCAACGTGTCTAAAAAGACCAAAATACTACAGATTCCGATGATATGAATATATCTTAGAAAGCTAAAATTAACACAAACTACAACACATTCACTCCAGTTACTAAACATCAGTAACATTAGGAATTGTATACTGGATTTTTATTTTCTGAAGATGCCTACAACCTCGCAACAACCATTTGCATTTCTATGGATATCCGACAATGAGCCGCATTTATTGTCTGAGGACTAACAATACTACCTGACTTGTCATACATCTGGAGGTCAAGCAGGACCTAATACTTTGAAGTCCAACACCAACTGAACCAATGAGCTAAAGCTTCGGACACCTAGCCAAACATATTTGACCTATTATATAGTGAATGTCAGTCATAACAGTTACTAATAGCATAGGTGATTAAACGACCGAGTGTTTACCAGCCACACCAGAAGGCAGGCTCCGACTGCCGGGTAATGTGCTCCGGAGGCCTCGTCTAGTTTGCTAAACGGCAGTAAACTGAAAAAAGAGGTCAGGCAACCCCTCTGGGTAAGGACGAAAGCGCCACCAAAACTTCAAAGTTTGGAGTCCTGTCCACTACTCAGAACCAAAGGAATGAAATGAGAAATGGTAAAAGTTATGAAGTGACAAGAAAAATGACTTTGAAAAAAACAGCAAAATTTAAAACTAAAACTACATTCAGCTGAGTATTTATTCCGTCGGAAAATCACAGTAATAAAAAATATGTAAATTGAATTTTGTTTTTTCTTTTCTGAGAAAAAGGCAATATGTAAGAATTTACCTTGGTCCTAATTGTGAACTTTTGTCCGTCAGTGGGACATAAAAAACACCCATAAGTATTTTACGCTGGAATGAACCATCTGGTAAATGATCGATTTGAACTAGAACTTGATTTCCATCTTCTGGTCCTTCGGGGCAAATTAGACGACCACCAACTTTTAACTGGTTTTTTAACTAGACAATACAAATAAACAAGCAAAGTTGATTACAACAAAATCATAAGTATGAAAAAATGTGCTGTGACTATTTTAACAATCGGACAAATACTGAGAGGCAAAGTTAAACAGTGGCGTCCCAGGGTATGGGAACGCACGAGTGACCTTGAGCCGACCATCAACCATAAAAAATAATTAGTTTTTACACAAAAAATAACGTTTATTTACCAGGAAATCTATGGAAACACATTAAACAGGGTATCTTTCTCTGACACGACCTAAAAACCGATACTCCTCATTATAACTGAGACGTACTTTTAAGATAGACCAGATTCTGTACATATATTCACCATAGTGACCTAAAGTGAGCCCTTTTTGTGACCCGTTTATCGCTTTTATCCTGTTTTGAAGTCCTTAACAAAAGCCGTCGGTTGAATCACTACGGTTTCCAGTAAAAGGATCAATGACTACTTACCAGGAAAATGTGGATAATGACAAATTAAAATAAATAATTCCAACTTTAAATATATTCACCAATAGTGCTTGTAATTTTACACCATATCGTTGTTATTATTTACAATCATTCTTATTGTCGTTATTTTCAACCTTGAACTTATGTCTAGACCGCCTCATTCGTTGGTTTATTTTCATATTGTCTCACACACCCAGATTACACTCACTCTCGAAACCTGCATTTTCTGTTGACTATGTTTATATAAATATACACACATCATTAAATTAAATTAAATTACTTCATCTCATCTTGTCCCATGTTCTCATTGACCGTGCATATTAAAAATACTAACTGACTATTGTTCTATCCCATCTTACTTATACTTGTTCCACAATGCACTTTCTGATATGATTCTAATTTGCCTTTACTGGCTGGCTACTGTATGCTTAAATTAATGGATTTATAATTGTAGAGCCTGAAGAAGAATTTATTGAAAACAATTGTTCGCTTTAAATATTTTGTTCTGAAAACTAAGTGACAAGTATGCTTTACCACATGTCGTAAAACACACATGAAATTATAAATGAATTATAGGAAAATAAAGATAATCTATGGATAAAAGAACAGGATTATTTTACTTGATATAAAATAAACGCGCGCGCGCGAGTTGTGATACAATATTACTCAAGAATACAATATTCAGTGAAGAGACTCCTTTCAACGAATTTATTATCAAGCTGTACAACCGTATAGACATATATACATATGGTTCTTTTTTAGAAATTACATCCCCTGAGGAAATCTAAACAAAGTGTAAATACATGAAATAATAATATTGTGAAATTCAATTAGAAGGTTTGTGATTCAAATCACGGAAGATTCCCATACAAAAAATCAAAACAAGTGATTCATTGATGACAGTTACGTATCCGACTGGTCTGTATTGCTGAAGCTTTGGCGATCGAGATAGAAAAGTCAAATCTCTTCATACAGAAAAAGTTCATTCAACCTGTCCAACTTTCATGGTCTTAATCCGTCTATTGCTAAAGTATGGGATAATCCTATTCATATTTTAGCTCTTCCTTTTTTTTCGTTTTATTTATTCAATTTGTATACCATTCCTTTATTACGTCGATTGTTAATATTATTATTATCATCCTCATTTTGAACTGTTTGCGGTATTATTTCACCTGTTCCATTTGTCATTCTAAATCAGTTTGTTTTGCAAAGTTAAATTCTATCTTATCAAATTCCACATCATGTTATGTAACGTTTTATTTTGGCCTGCTAGTTCTATAATTTTACACCCCAATTTAACATCTATACATCTTATGAACTATTCTATAAATAACATTATTTGTTTCGCCTCTTGACACTTGATATGTAACTATGATTTTAATCACAAACACTTTAACTGCATTTCAAACTATTACTATTTTATGTATTCACACGTTTGATTCAATTCCCTTACCGGATTTAATTTCTTGAAAATATATATATATATACGAGTGTACAGCTTGATAATAAATTCATTGGAAGGAGTCTCTTAGCTGCATATTGTGTTCTTAATTTTGCAGGGGGTAATTATAAAATTATAGAATGCATTATTTATTAACAGTTGACGTTTCGAGGGCAATATTACTTACAATCTAATCAAGGTGTTCACATAACCTCTTTCAGATTTTGTACAAAGAGCAGTACCATTATTTCTTATCCCGTGATTTTATAGGTAATACTATATTTTCCATCTTTGGCATTGGTGACTGTTAGTAGTTGCTCCTCCACGACCATAAACGACATGGTACTGCTGCCTAGGGGTGGGTAGACGACTTCGGTCTTCTTCCCGAAATGTTTATCTACTTTCCAAGTTAGCAGTGAATAACACCCCGAACTAATCACGAAGAAAACACACTGTTGGGTTCGACTATTGCACAGACAGATGACTTCATCATCATGAGTATGATAAGACAAGTAATGCATACATACTGTAATGTTCTGTACAAAACGTTTTACAATCTTTGAAGAGTGCTCAGTTTTTTATGAGTATTTGTATGGAGACTCAAATCTAACGTGATAGAATACACTGGTATTCTCTCTAAATACATAAAAGAAGCAAACTTCTGTCCGATTTTTTATGGAATCATTGCCAATATGAAAGATAAAGTAGTTTAATGTGTAAGTAAACGTGTGATCTGATAGATTTGTGATGGTATCACTACCCGACAGTCAGCGTTCTCTGGATGCATCTGTGATGTTGTGTGCTCCATTGGACTAAGCGTTTGATCTTTATCAACTCACCAGTGGGACACGAGCTTAAAGGTAACTACATCTATCGAGATTTCAGTAGTCAATTAATATCATTCTTCCGAATACGCTAAGTATGTTCTATGCCAAACTGATGAATATAATTAGGAAGTTCGTTTGTTCGTTTCAGCTAAGTTACCGGAGCAAATCTTTCAAGCAAGTCCAGTCTATGAGTCACACATATCTCATGTGAAGACTGATTGCCGGCACCCAGCAGTTCAAGCTGGAGTAGGTGGAACGGGACTAAAATCCTACAGTCACTGGCTGAAAATCGAGTGCTTAGGACAGACAATAAGACACGTCTCCACAATAAGGTCAGTAAAAAAAAATTGAAAAATTATGAATTTTACATAGCAAGAGAAAAATACACACCAACTCACGGCATCAGGAATAGTTGGAGCTGCAGCACCAACATGAATAGCATCATAAAGGGCATCATCTGACCAACCTTGACGACCATCACCAGTTACAAGTTTTAGTTGTTTTCCCAATTCTATGCGAGCTGATTGAGCTGCTTTACTATGATTCATCCAATTTCCAACATTCGCTAATGCAAATTCAGTTAACTCATTAATATGTTCAATGCCTACTGCAACACCTGTGGGGCTCACCTTTAAATATATAGACAAAAGGGAAGTATGAAGTTACATCGTGCTTTGCTAAGTAAGTATCATGAAGGTGTGGGTTCACTTATAACGCTAAGAGAAAGAAAATGAGTAAAAGCAACGAACTGTGAACACAAACACTTTTAAAGGAGAGAAAAAAATTATGCAAAAGAGTCCCTTCGCTAAAAATTGTTTTAATAGACAGAGGACAAGTAGTTCAGCGAAGCTATTAATATTCCTATTCCTGCTATTAATATTCCCCTACGTTTCGAGTGGAACATACGGATTCAACAAAACATCTCCTTTCCACGATATTCTCTACAGTTGTCCTTAGCTGGTACCACGGCAGTCTATAAGCTATCATCTCCTCACACAATCTTCACAACGCCAACCTCAGATCCACGCCCAACTCGTCGTTTCCGATTCGGGTCTCACTAAAGAGATTAGAGCGCGATGTGACTCAAAGATTTCATCCATGTGTCTCATCCACCTCCACTCAGGCTTATTTTCGGACTGTGGGTTCTTGGTTGGTTCGTTCCCACAGTTCCCTGTTGCTAATCCTTTTTGGCTATCTAATCTTGAACATGGAGCGAGGGCAGCTGTTCGAAAAGCTATTGTTGATATGCCAAATCTCTAAACCATATAGAAGCACTGACTTGACACTAGTGTCGAAAATCCATATCCTGTTTCAATGACCATATCTTTGATATTCTTGTGATTTTAGGAAACCAAAAGTTAATGAAGTGATCGGAAACAAGTAGAGATGACACATAAGTGTCAGAAACCTACGCAGTATCTACAGCAATATCTAACATGGATGTAAAAGGAGAAAAGACATTCAAATGGAGGTAAGTGAATATGTTTCAAAACCTTTAGGATGATAAAGATTAAGTATATTTACATCACTGTTGCCCCCGTAAACATGTCACGGCCAAGGGTTGGTAAATTTAGGTCTTCCTCTGGAAATATCCTACTGTCGCCACGCGTTCATAGTCTCTGACACTGTTCACTGACTCCAGGCGGCGGGTATATTCCTCAAAAAAGAGTGAAGGCACTAACGCGAACGTTCAGTGCTTACAACCGGACTAGTAGATATCGTGGCCTATCTAGGAGGGCTGGAAAACTCTGCTTCCAAACCTATGGTGTACATGGACTTCAGAATCCAAACTGACTGAGCTTGGAGTACGTCAACGCAGCTCTACTGCCTTATGACTTGAAATTGATCTCTTGGTGGCCATAATGTACCAATTTTGTGTTCTAATGATAATACTACTAAACCGTGAGACACCCTGCCACTAATGATCTCCAAAGAATGATAACTGAAATCGCAGGAACCGAAGCGCAACATATTACAACTTTACAGTTACATTTCTATGTCTATGAAAAAATATCATCAGACCAGCAAGCACTATATATATATACATTGCAAGTTACTCACTGAATATTTTCTGTTAATTCAGAGTGAAGTACACATACATTATTATCTCCAAAGTAAGCTGTTATTAAAAACTTACTAAATTATCTGGGCGAAACAACACACAGATACGATAAATTAAAATTTTGACCATTTTTGACACACAAGAACTACATACTGAAAAAGTATCAGTGAGTCCTGATGTACACATAACAATGAAAACTGTTGGAGAATAACACGTATCTCAACTGCCCAAAGTAACACAGTTTTGTAAATATGCCAAATTACTAGCCTTATTATGCCGAAATCCTCCTTTCCTTTCTATGATTAGCCTACCTGGTGGTTTCCAAGACACCTCTGTTTGGTTGATGGGAAAAAATAGCAGTCCTAATCCACAGACTGCGAGCAAAAACTGCAATGAAAATAACAAATTGAGTGCTGGTGACGCGAGATGTTTAACTCTCCTACCCAAATATATCAACGACTGAACCACTACTTTAGATTCAGCAGCTGTTAAAAGAAACGAGTTTACCACTTTGTCCTGATAACAATAGCTAGTAGTTAAGTATTTTCTACTCACTTATCTGGAATAGATTTCCCACTTATCCCACGCTGTGCGAAAGCTGATGACATTACCCAGTTGCCCAGACTGAGGTAGGTGGAGCGAGACTCAAACTCGACACTGAAAGGTTGGAGACCGAAGGCCTTGATTTGAACACAGACGATGATTTCAGCTCTAAATGAACGAAATAGCAGTCCAGTATTTGGATTATTTCGACCTAGCTGGTTGGCAAGCATTGCTAGTTGATGTGAGTGGTGTTAACCCACTCATCTCGACCATCAGTAGGCGATTAAAGAAGTCAATGAAATAGCCAACGTTGAAATACACTTCACACGAACAGCAAATTTAAGCTTTGACAATAAACTGTTTTAGTGTACACCACTATGTTCGAGAACTCAAGTTGCTGTTCATTCCTGTCTTACACAAATGACAGTAAAACAATAATTTAAGTATCACTCATTTTTGTATGGCTGTCAAGGAAAAACTCAGATATTGTTTGTTTTTATCACGTTTATCTTTCATAGCCCAAAGTAACACAGTTTTGTAAATATGCCAAATTACTAGCCTTATTATGCCGAAATCCTCCTTTCCTTTCTATGATTAGCCTACCTGGTGGTTTCCAAGACACCTCTGTTTGGTTGATGGGAAAAAATAGCAGTCCTAATCCACAGACTGCGAGCAAAAACTGCAATGAAAATAACAAATTGAGTGCTGGTGACGCGAGATGTTTAACTCTCCTACCCAAATATATCAACGACTGAACCACTACTTTAGATTCAGCAGCTGTTAAAAGAAACGAGTTTACCACTTTGTCCTGATAACAATAGCTAGTAGTTAAGTATTTTCTACTCACTTATCTGGAATAGATTTCCCACTTATCCCACGCTGTGCGAAAGCTGATGACATTACCCAGTTGCCCAGACTGAGGTAGGTGGAGCGAGACTCAAACTCGACACTGAAAGGTTGGAGACCGAAGGCCTTGATTTGAACACAGACGATGATTTCAGCTCTAAATGAACGAAATAGCAGTCCAGTATTTGGATTATTTCGACCTAGCTGGTTGGCAAGCATTGCTAGTTGATGTGAGTGGTGTTAACCCACTCATCTCGACCATCAGTAGGCGATTAAAGAAGTCAATGAAATAGCCAACGTTGAAATACACTTCACACGAACAGCAAATTTAAGCTTTGACAATAAACTGTTTTAGTGTACACCACTATGTTCGAGAACTCAAGTTGCTGTTCATTCCTGTCTTACACAAATGACAGTAAAACAATAATTTAAGTATCACTCATTTTTGTATGGCTGTCAAAGAAAAACTCAGATATTGTTTGTTTTTATCACGTTTATCTTTCATAGACTAAATGCAGCCAAATGACAATAAGAGTTTATTTGGCAACTATTCCAGATACGGTATACTGAGTGAGTATACTGAGTATTCACATGCAGTGGGCTCTGTTTACGACGTAAGACTTTTGTGCAGAATAAAACAAACTCACCATAAGTGCCATACACGCTGTTAAATATCCACTACCGGACCCAACATCTAAGGCATGTGAACCAGGTTTAAGATGATCTCCTAGTCTTTCCAAAGCATATGCATGCTAAGCGTAAAAACAAAAAAAAATATGCAATAGAGCCTCTAAATACATGAAGGATTACTGAAAAGTAATAAATTCGCTCAAACATAAACCACAGGAAATTAATAGTTAGTTAAATACAAAGCATCGTTCATACAAATGCGCGCCTGTAATATGCAGCACTAAGTACCAGAATGATACAGTTTTGACTGATGTAAACCACAAAACAATTTGCCATAACTCCTTGTTAGTTAGCAATCTATGGTTACTAATGCATATCGGAACATCTTATGTGCAACACTGACAAAGCAAACAGAAAAACCAGTTCGCCAGAGACCGTTTATCTTGCTTGCACCATAACAACTGCAAAATACTGGTGCCTGGTGGTTGGGAGTTACCAGCAGGAAACTCTGGATGTAGGTTTTGCACTGTTTGGCCTTCGTTAGTGAGACGCATCTGCAACATCAAAATATGTGATGTTGGCTCAGCTATCCGAACCCGCGTAACCCGATTCTGCAGTCTAAAACATTGCCACTAAGCCATTTGTGCTCAAGACTGACCGCTTGTATGACTGTAGTCCACTGGCCACTAGCAAGTACATAAAGTAGCGTTGGTGCTAATTGGTCGGGTTTTAAGCGCGAAACTGAGCAGAAATTCAGTAATTGATATTGTCGGATCCAAATAGCAAAAAAAAGGCAGAAAAAAAACAAAGGAAATACAACGAATGAAAATTTACAGCAGAAAGAATTATTGCATAGTAAATGATGACAATTTAAAGTGGTCGACATGCTCAACTATTTCATTCCTTATCATTAGACTGCGTCTCGATATCAGCCGTTCCTGCACCTCATATTGGTCAGGAAGGAATCATGTTGCTGACGAATCCTATCACTCAATTATGCAACGTGTTCACCGAGTTACGTAACCTGCGATTGCGGTGCACTTCGAATTGATGTCAGATGCTTCAGTGCGACTGGTGTAAAGCCATAAACCATTCTTTCTCCCAGAAAACATATAATGCGCAAACTAGTACTACGATGTCTCCAAAACATGTGATTAACTGGAAACCATTCTGAAACCAACCAGCTATTTAAATAGGAATGTGGCGATAAGTTTGTCTGTTGATGACCAACATTTTGAAGCAAAATAACGAGCTTAAGTTTTGATACACGTGACACTTGTAAGGCATAATGATGAACTGCATTAAAGAAAATTTCAACTGATTCCTGAGAAGTGATCCTCAAATTATAATATACATTATGAGTCAACTTCAAGTTTCCAAATACACTTTATATTAATGTTTGTATCAAAAACTTGTTTCAGGGAAACAAGTATCTCAATAAGACGACTACCAGTAATCAGAAGAATGAACAGATAATCCACGGGGAATAAGTAATCCTGTACGGACTAAAACATTGCGCTAGTGGTTCATTGGTAAGGTGCTCACTAAATATGCACCTGCTCTGGAGCTCGATTTCTGACCAACGCAATTGCAAACAAAAACATGACATAATGTACAGACAAACCGACAACTTAAAACACAGAATCACAATAGTAGTCTCTCCTGTTTAGGGTCCGGTATTTCAAAGTAACAGTGTATTAACGCGAAACTGTAAACAATATACGTTTACTAATTGTTACGCAAACCATGCTTGCCCGTTATCGTATTATTCCTGTAGTTACTCCTGAACTACTTGTGGAACTACGACTACAGTTTGACTGTTACTACATACTTCACCTTAAAGGACTGAAATCCTGATAAATCAGTCTGCCAAAGGATTTCTGACTTCATAGGACACCACTACATATGGTCGTGTTATAACATCAGCACTCTAAATGCTATGGTAAATTCTTCATTAGACGCCTAAATCCCTACCTCGGATCTAAAGATGAGTTTCTCTATGGTCTAGTGTCTTTTTAATAGATTTAGGGTAGTTTCTAAGTCACACTAAACTACCAACTTTGGTGAGTACTTACCATATGAGGAGCACTAATTGTTGCGGCGAAACCAATTGGCTGTGGCCTGTCTTCATATGGGTTTGAACTCGTGAAATACCCACGGTCTACAGCCAGCATCGTATTTTTTACACGTTCCGATGTAATAACTCCTTTCTCTGCAGCAAAACATCAAACAATGTATCCTGGTTACTGCATAGGTTATTTATGAGCTCATCATGTGTCCTGCCACTTGACTGCCAAGCCGTATTTTTGCCACAAATAAGCGAAACAACTGAAATGATCAAAATGCATCTAGCCATATTTCATTTGACAAATACATAGGACAGAAATAAGTAATTCCACGAACCGTCAAGAAACCGCCTTATTATTATTTCGTGTTCAATAGCCAATGCCCTTCACACAATATGTAAATACCACTAAGTGTTAGTAAAATTGATTCCTTTGAGCTTACTTCTTGAATGAAAGACAAAGGTCCTTGATCTCTGATAAAAACTTTGCATAGTGTGTCCTGTGCTCGACTGTCTTGGCTTCGATAGACTCTGTAGCTGAAAATAATTCGCCAAAATTGTTGACCACAGTAACCATCAGTGAACATTGGATGCTGACCCTCACTGTTTCAGTCAACTTGTTTAGCTGAGGGTTTCCGGTCAGGCATCCATGCTATCTGGTACTCCGTTGTGTCACGTTCATGCACGATCACTAGTTAGCTAGGCATTCATCTCGGTCTACGATATGGTACCGAAATATCTCGTAGTTGAATAATAATAATTTATATTTCGCATAAACAGGTAAGTTTACAAATAGCCTCTTTTGCTTTGCCTTTGGTCTACGCGGAAAAAATACTATAGAAGTTGTTGGTATTAGATGTGGCGTTTGTATGCGTCGGTGGCACAGTGGTTAGGACTCTCGCCGACCATGCACATGGTCCGGGGTTCGATCCCCTACCGGCGCACACCCAATATCTATGGTTGGCCTGAATTTGGGCTACCGATATCCATGCTGAAAATTCCATACTTGTACTGTAAATACGGTGTGGAATCAAGCTGTAAATCAAAAAATAAAAAATACAATTCGCGAACGTCAATACCGTCAGCCTCTAAACTGGTGAGCCCAACAGCGAACTTCATCTTTGGTGAAAACGCAGACAAATCCGGTGAGTTCGTTCCATTTTTTATTTCTTCCTGTACTGTTTTTAAACTATATATATTCCGCATGAGTGATCAAACCCCTAAGGTCATTAGTATTCGCTCAAATGGCAAAACCAATCAGCTCGTACCATTTTGGCCAGATAATGCTGAAACATGGTTTCAGATAGCTGAGTCCGATTTTTGTGAACATGGCATAACTGATGAACGTTCACAGTTCCTTGCAGTTATTCACGCCCTACCGCGGGAATTCAGCAGGTGCGTAACTCTACAGATGTCGGTAAGTAACTCGTACGAGTTGCTCAAAGCATCCATCCTCAAGAGGAACGTTCTCACAGATCGACAACGTCTGGATGAGTTATTTCGTAACATCGAGTTAGGAGATCAGTCAGCCGTGAGCATGCTGGCAAGAATGAAAGAGATCATTGGCCAAAGTCGGTTCGATGAAGGACTGTTTAGAGAACTATTTTTATCCAAACTGCCACAGTCAGTACAGACTGTACTTGTGACACTTAAGGGTGTTCTTATGGATGACTCATCTGTTTCTGCAGATAAAATTCTAGAAATAACTAAACGGCCAGTTACCGAAATATACTCAGTTACCAAGTCGACTTTGAGTAAGGATACTGCAATGATAGAGTTATGCAACTCCATCCAGCAGATGCTTAGGTCAAACAAGCCTAGCAAATCCTCCTACCGTCGTTCTAAATCCCCTCAACGGCAAAACGCACGCGGTCGTTCTAAGTCCAACCCACGTTCTCTCAAAAATCCTGACTGGTGCTGGTATCACAACACCTATGGCAAGGAAGCGAAATGTTGTCGAACACCTTGTAATTTAAGCAATGTCTCAAAGTCTGTGGGAAACTATCCGGCCGGCACGCGTTAGCGGCAACCGTCGCCGGTGGCACTAGCCGCTTACTTTACATTCATGATGTGGTCAGCCAGACCCGATATTTAGTCGACACAGGCGCCGAAGTCAGCATCCTTCCGGCTGCAGCAGCAGATGGATAGAAGGAACCCACCTTCAACTTACAGGCTGCAAATGGAAAACCAATTGCAACCTATGGTAAGAAGTACGTCTACCTGAAAGTAGGTTTACGCAAATCTATTCAGTGGATTTTCCTTCTCGCTGACGTCACAGTGCCCATCATTGGCACGGACCTACTTAATCATCATGATTTGCTCGTAGACGTCCGCCGTAAACGACTAATTGACAACACTACTAGTTTGTTTATCAAAGGCATAACTTACAGTGGCCCCAGCTTGTCGATCGTTAAGATGAAAGCAATCCTCGATCCAACTTTTCAACCGATTGTTGACAAATATCCGGAACTCAATTGCCCATCTAACGATCTCCCGTGTATAACCAGCAATGTTATGCACCACATCATAACCTCAGGACAACCTGTGACATCTAAAGCACAACGACTTGCTCCTGACAGACTGAGACTCACTAGGAATGAGTTCGACCATATGCTCACCCTTGGCAGCACTCGGCCATCCCATGGGCGACCCCGCTGCATATGGTACCGTAAAATGATGGTAACGATTGGCGACCACTGGTGATTACCGGCGAGGAAACGCCAAAACAACCCTTGATTGCTATCCATTTTCTCACATATACGACTTGACGGCAACATTATCTGGCGCAACTATATTCTCTAAAATCGACTCCGTTTAAGCGTATTACTAAATCCCGATGGCAACAAAAGATATTCCGAAATCGGCTATCATGGCGCCTTCGGACTTTTTGAATTTCTACGCATGCTTTTCGGTCTCCGGAATGCAGCACAAACATTCCAACGCTTCATCGACGAAGTATTTCGACTGTCTCATTGCCAGTTCAGACAAGGAAACTTACCTTAGACACTTGGACTGGACATTTGGAAGATTACGCCTACATGGTGTTACCATCAATATACAGAAGTGTCAGATAGGCGTTGACTCACTCAACTCTCTGGGCCACACTATTGACTGCAAAGGTATTCGCCCACTGGCTAGTAAAGTTGAGGCGATACTGAACTGTCCAGAGCCACAGACAGTGACACGTCGTCGCACTTTTAACGCGTTGGTAGGTTACTACCGACGGTTTATTTCCAACTGTGCTTCTCAGATTCAGCTACTGACAGACCTTCTTCGAGGAAATAACAAGTCCATCGAACTTGACGCGTCTACTGGAAATGCTTTCACTCAGGTTAAAAAAGCTATTGCGGATTCCACACTTCTAATGTATCAGGATTCAACGGTACCATTAAGTATCTCGGTTTATGCATCAGACACTATAATCGGCGTAGTTCTGCAACAACTAGTCAGCAGAGAACGGCAACCACTCGTCTTTTTCTCGAGGCGCCTTCAATTAGCAGAAACGAAGTACATCACATTCAGGAGAGAACTTCTAGCTATGTACTGTGCTATACGTCATCTTCCACACTCAGTGGAGGGCCGTGAATTCATAATTTTCACTGACCACAAGCCTCTGACGTTCTCTCTGAACTCAACTTCAGATAAGTATTCACCTAGGGAATCACGACAGCTGGACTACGTTTCACAGCTTACATCGGATATTCGCTATGTATCCGGAGTGAACAACACTGTGGCAGATGCCTTGTCGCGCGTTTGCTCACTCACCCAAATAGACGGCATAGGCCGTGTGGAACTGGCTCGTTAAGATCTAATTTAAAAGAAAAAAGTGCCTTGGCTCCTACCATCTACAAGCCTGTTCAGCTTCTTGTCAAGGTGCTAACCGTTGGGCCCTACAGAAATTCACGAGGTATCTTACAGGTCAGCTTGTTCTACGGCTTCTAATCTTCCAGGTCTTTGAATTCACTCCTCAATTAAATATCGCTTACCTACCTCACAATAATCTTTTTATTTACGCACTATTATGCTCTATCTGATCTTAACTACCAGGGCCTTTATTGAGGCTAAAACTTGCTCTTTTTTCATATTTGTTGCTTGCTTTAGGTCTGGTTGCTTTGATTAAAAACGCAACAACACCAATGTTTGAACAAAGCTATATTTTCATTGGAAACGTGACAGCCTCCATGCTTAAACCAATATGGTTACCATTAAATATTGCAAATGTAAACTATCATTTCAAGTACTGTATAGATCCTTCTTCTTGTATTTATCTTGTAAATTTACTTCCAATAATGTAAAATTCACAATCGCATTTTATACCATTTTGCAGGTGAGCAGAATTTTCTCTTCTCCCTGAAATAGATTTCCAGCACGTGGGGTCACAGTACTCACTCAAATATATGTTGTTTATCGATGCCCCGTTTTCAGAAATAGAACTTCTAAAGTTGTCTATAGGAGAACTTAAGGCCGAGTTAGGGGAAATAAAAAACAATAAGTAAGTAAATCCTGGAATTGCTGAAACTAATACCAAAATGTCCAAATTATCAGATCAGATCAGCAATATCAGATCGCAGGTCTGTGAACTGACACCTCTAACTATCCTCATGAAAACTGTAGACCTTAACAAACTTGACACAGAATCGGTATCTAGGATGGATAACCTCATTAAGTTCGTCACTACAGAAGTAACAAAACGATTCGATGCTAAACCAAATGCTATTGTCTACAACGTTCCGGACGATGAGGCACTAAAAAGGGTACAGCGCATCTTACTTAGTGAGGCGAAAATGCCCAACTCCAAGACTAAGTGCTATGGACTGAAGGAGGGTCAACATGAAAAGTGTCGTCCCATTCGTTTCCAGAAAATTCATCCATTCCCAACACACCCTATCGCAAGGCAGAAACTACAAACTAATGAAGGTTGAGGTGGACAAGACAGTCATAGAAAGGCGTGCATACAGTTATCTCACTACGCCTAATTGTGGAACAAATAATAGGACATTGCAAGCAGCAATTATACCCAACCCTTTGAGAGATACCGTAGAATCCACCGCACCACCCCTCTCAAACCACACAGAATTATCCTCTCAGAGAGCAACACCAACCGGAAGG